CTATCTCAGAGCCATACCTCTCCCTGACACTATTAGCATGTCAACATCTCTCTTATTACTCTGCTCTACCGAACACATTAGCTCTTAATGTGTGTGTGTGTGTGTGTGTGTGTGTGTGTGTGTATGTGTGCGCTTCGACCTAATGAGTAGTTCCGCTGTCATGCTTAATGTTCAGTTTAGCTCCTTCCATGTACAAACAAACATGATTGCCCTAGCCCAACCTGAGAGCTGGCACCCTATTCCCTACATAGTGCACTACTTTTGACCAGGGCTTTGGAACACCTTAGGGAACCGGGTGGCATTTGGCACTCATACCTATACTGCTAGTTCCAAGACTGTAAACCCTGCCCATATGGCACTCCAGGCAGGCTGGAGCAAACTCTCCAAAAATATGAATGATTTCAAATAGTATTTGAACCCAGGTCTGAAACACAGTCAAGTCAACCAAGACGTCTTGGCTGTGAAGCTCTGCTACTAACTGGTACTGCAGGTGCTGTGCATGTACAGGTAACTAGCTGGTACTGCAGGTGCTGTGTATGTACAGGTAACTAACTGGTACTGCAGGTGCTGTGTATGTACAGGTAACTAACTGGTACTGCAGGTGCTGTGCATGTACAGGTAACTAACTGGTACTGCAGGTGCTGTGCATGTACAGGTAACTAACTGGTACTGCAGGTGCTGTGCATGTACAGGTAACTAACTGGTACTGCAGGTGCTGTGTATGTACAGGTAACTAACTGGTACTGCAGGTGCTGTGTATGTACAGGTAACTAACTGGTACTGCAGGTGCTGTGTATGTACAGGTAACTAACTGGTACTGCAGGTGCTGTGTATGTACAGGTAACTAACTGGTACTGCAGGTGCTGTGTATGTACAGGTAACTAACTGGTACTGCAGGTGCTGTGTATGTACAGGTAACTAACTGGTACTGCAGGTGCTGTGTATGTACAGGTAACTAACTGGTACTGCAGGTGCTGTGTATGTACAGGTAACTAACTGGTACTGCAGGTGCTGTGTATGTACAGGTAACTAACTGGTACTGCAGGTGCTGTGTATGTACAGGTAACTAACTGGTACTGCAGGTGCTGTGTATGTACAGGTAACTAGCTGGTACTGCAGGTGCTGTGTATGTACAGGTAACTAACTGGTACTGCAGGTGCTGTGTATGTACAGGTAACTAACTGGTACTGCAGGTGCTGTGTATGTACAGGTAACTAGCTGGTACTGCAGGTGCTGTGTATGTACAGGTAACTAGCTGGTACTGCAGGTGCTGTGTATGTACAGGTAACTAACTGGTACTGCAGGTGCTGTGTATGTACAGGTAACTAGCTGATACTGCAGGTGCTGTGTATGTACAGGTAACTAACTGGTACTGCAGGTGCTGTGTATGTACAGGTAACTAACTGGTACTGCAGGTGCTGTGTATGTACAGGTAACTAACTGGTACTGCAGGTGCTGTGTATGTACAGGTAACTAGCTGGTACTGCAGGTGCTGTGTATGTACAGGTAACTAACTGGTACTGCAGGTGCTGTGTATGTACAGGTAACTAGCTGATACTGCAGGTGCTGTGTATGTACAGGTAACTAACTGGTACTGCAGGTGCTGTGTATGTACAGGTAACTAACTGGTACTGCAGGTGCTGTGTATGTACAGGTAACTAACTGGTACTGCAGGTGCTGTGTATGTACAGGTAACTAACTGGTACTGCAGGTGCTGTGTATGTACAGGTAACTAGCTGATACTGCAGGTGCTGTGTATGTACAGGTAACTAACTGGTACTGCAGGTGCTGTGTATGTACAGGTAACTAACTGGTACTGCAGGTGCTGTGTATGTACAGGTAACTAACTGGTACTGCAGGTGCTGTGTATGTACAGGTAACTAACTGGTACTGCAGGTGCTGTGTATGTACAGGTAACTAGCTGGTACTGCAGGTGCTGTGTATGTACAGGTAACTAGCTGGTACTGCAGGTGCTGTGTATGTACAGGTAACTAACTGGTACTGCAGGTGCTGTGTATGTACAGGTAACTAGCTGGTACTGCAGGTGCTGTGTATGTACAGGTAACTAACTGGTACTGTAGGTGCTGTGTATGTACAGGTAACTAACTGGTACTGCAGGTGCTGTGTATGTACAGGTAACTAACTGGTACTGCAGGTGCTGTGTATGTACAGGTAACTAACTGGTACTGGAGGTGCTGTGTATGTACAGGTAACTAACTGGTACTGCAGGTGCTGTGTATGTACAGGTAACTGCCAAAATAAAGGAAACACTTGAGTAAATGAGTGGGTGCTTCCATAAAGGTGTGGTTCCTGAGTTAATTAGGCAATTAACATCCCATCATGCTTAGGGTCATGTATAGAAATGCCCAGTTGCCCATTATTTTGGCTACCATGGCTAGAAGAGATCTCAGTGACCTTGAAAGTGGGGTCTCAAAGGAATTTTTTAAAAAGCGTGTGTGTGTGTGTGTGTGTCAGTCACCAGTTCTCAACCCAGTTGAACACTTATGGGAGATTCTGGAGCGGCGTTTTACACCACCATCAACAAAAGACCAAATGATGGAATTTCTCGTGGAAGAATGGTGTCGGATCCCTCCAAAAGAGTTTCAGACACTTGTAGAATCTATGCCAAGGCACATTGAAGCTGTTCTGGCTCGTGGTGACCCAACACCCTATTAAGACACTTTATGTTGGGGTTTCCTTTATTTTGGCAGTAACCTGTATGTAATGAACACTTCTGAATGCAAAGCCGGGTCCGCAAAATAGTGTGCTGACAGCTTTAAGCCTCAGAATGGGGGTGGATAGGACATTACCGTGGCTGGTGTTAATGAATGGTGGATTACTTAATAGCATTGCATCTGCATGATGTCAAGGCTGTGCTACGAGAGGCACTCTTTCTCTCAGTCAACATGTTTGCTGCTGTCGTCGCAGCTGTTCCTAGCTGATCTACTACTCTGTGTGTGCGTGTGTGTGTGTGTGTGTGTTTGTGTGTTTGTATGTGTCTGTTCGTGTGTGTGTGTGTGTGTGTGCGTAAGTGCATGTCCAGTGATGACTGAATACCATGCACTGAATTCCACAGTGATATACTAATCTACTGTGTGTGTGTGTGTGTGTGTGTGTGTGTGTGTGTGTGTGTGTGTGTGTGTGTCTGTTCGTGTGTGTGTGTGTGTGTGCGTAAGTGCATGTCCAGTGATGACTGAATACCATGCACTTAATTCCAAAGTGATATACTAATCTACTGTGTGTGTGTGTGTGTGTGTGTGTGTGTGTGTGTGTGTGTGTGTGTGTGTGTGTGTGTGTGTGTGTGTGTGTGTGTTTGTGTGTGTGTGTGTGTGTGTGTGTGTGTGTGTGTGTGTGTGTGTGTGTGTGTGTGTGTGTGTGTGTGTGTGTGTGTGTGTGTGTGTGTGTGTGTGTGTGTGTGTGTGTGTGTGTGTGTGTGTGTGTGTGTGTGTGTGTGTTCGTGTGTGTTTTGAGCGTGTCACTTGTCTCCGTGCTGCACTGTTTATTGCCGCTTGGCTACCTGCCAAACTTGACGGTTTTTACTTTTTTTAAACCCGTTTAATCTGTCTTCATTTAACACATTTTACCAACATCGTAGTTATTTTTTATATGTTTCACTCGCTCTACTTTTTTAATTCAAGTTTTTGTCCCCGGACGCTTTATCTGGACATGGTTCTACAGGACCTCCACCAGCCGAAGCTAAGTAGTAACATTAACACTATGCCATCTAATTGCAGTCGCTGTACTCATAATATACAGGAGAACTATCGCCTTATGGTGAGGATAGCCGTGCTGCAAGCACAGCTTCAGATGCAATCGTTAGGCAAGGACAATGTAAGTGTAGGAAAGGATGAAACAGCGTCTGTGCCACCAGTAAGTATAGATAGTAGTATAAATCCCCTCGCACGGTCCCCGCAGCCGGACAATTTTCTCAAGGCTTCTGGAAAGAAATGCTGTCGGCATGCTCAACCGGTGTCGCTCATTCAGCCGACAGAAACTTTCAACCGGTTCTCCCCATTAAGCAACGAGTCGGAGTCAGAGGTCGAGCCTTCTCGGGTCTCTCCTCCACCCGTTACGGGGTCTGAGCCACTGAAGCCTACCACCATTAGCTCTGACAAATTGAAAACCCTAGTTATTGGCGACTCCATTACCCGCAATTTTAGACTTAAAAAGAATCATCCAGCGATCATACACTGTTTACCAGGGGGCAGGGCTACCGACATAAAGGCTAATCTGAAGATGGTGCTGGCTAAGGCTCAAACTGGTGAGTGTAGAGACTATAGGGATATTGTTATCCACGTCGGCACCAATGATGTTAGGATGAAACAGTCAGAGGTCACCAAGAGCAACACAGCTGCAGTGTGTAAATTAGATAGAAAGATGTGTCGGCATCGAGTAATTGTCTCTGGTCCCCTCCCAGTTAGGGCGAGTGATGAGCTCTACAGCAGAGTCTCACAACTCAATCGCTGGTTGAAAACTGTTTTCTGCCCCTCCCAAAAGATAGGATTTGTAGATAATTGGCCCTCTTTCTGGGACTCACCAACAAACAGGACCAAGCCTGGCCTGCTGAGGAGTGACAGACTCCATCCTAGCTGGAGGGGTGCTCTCATCTTATCTATCAACATAGACAGGGCTCGAACTCCTCTAGCTCCACAATGAGATAGGGTGCAGGCCAGGCAGCAGGCTATTTGCCAGCCTGCCAGCTTAGTGGAGTCTGCCACTAGCACAGTCAGTGTAGTCAGCTCAGCTATCCCCATTGAGACCGTGTCTGTGCCTCGATCTAGGTTGAGCAAAACTAAACATGGCGGTGTTTGCCTTAGCAATCTCACTGGAATAAAGACCTCCTCCATTCCTGTCATTATTGAAAGAGATTGTGATATACAGTGGGGCAAAAAAGTATTTAGTCAGCCACTATTTGTGCAAGTTCTCCCACTTAAAAAGATGAGAGAGGCCTGTAATTTTCATCATAGGTACACATCAACTATGAAAGACAAATTGAGAAAAAAAATTCCAGAAAATCACATTGTAGGATTTTTTATGAATTTATTTGCAAATTATGGTGGAAAATAAGTATTTGGTCACCTACAAACAAGCAAGATTTCTGGCTCTCACAGACCTGTAACTTCTTCTTTAAGAGGCTCCTCTGTCCTCCACTCGTTACCTGTATTAATGGCATCTGTTTGAACTTGTTATCAGTATAAAAGACACCTGTCCACAACCTCAAACAGTCACACTCCAAACTCCACTATGGCCAAGACCAAAGAGCTGTCAAAGGACACCAGAAACAAAATTGTAGACCTGCACCAGGCTGGGAAGACTGAATCTGCAATAGGTAAGCAGCTTGGTTTGAAGAAATCAACTGTGGGAGCAATTATTAGGAAATGGAAGACATACAAGACCACTGATAATCTCCCTCGATCTGGGGCTCCACGCAAGATCTCACCCCGTAGGGTCAAAATGATCACAAGAACGGTGAGCAAAAATCCCAGAACCACACGGGGGGACCTAGTGAATGACCTGCAGAGAGCTGGGCCCAAAGTAACAAAGCCTACCATCAGTAACACACTACGCCGCCAGGGACTCAAATCCTGCAGTGCAAGACGTGTCCACCTGCTTAAGCCAGTAAATGTCCAGGCCTGTCTGAAGTTTGCTAGAGTGCATTTGGATAATCCAGAAGAGGATTGGGAGAATGTCATATGGTCAGATGAAACCAAAATAGAACTTTTTGGTAAAAACTCAACTCGTCGTGTTTGGAGGACAAAGAATGCTGAGTTGCATCCAAAGAACACCATACCTACTGTGAAGCAGGGGGGTGGAAACATCATGCTTTGGGGCTGTTTTTCTGCAAAGGGACCAGGACGACTGATCCGTGTAAAGGAACGAATGAATGGGGCCATGTATCGTGAGATTTTGAGTGAAAACCTCCTTCCATCAGCAAGGGCATTGAAGATGAAACGTGGCTGGGTCTTTCAGCATGACAATGATCCCAAACACACCGCCCGGGCAATGAAGGAGTGGCTTCGTAAGAAGCATTTCAAGGTCCTGGAGTGGCCTAGCCAGTCTCCTGATCTCAACCCCATAGAACATCTTTGGAGGGAGTTGAAAGTCTGTGTTGCCCAGCGACAGCCCCAAAACATCACTGCTCTAGAGGAGATCTGCATGGAGGAATGGGCCAAAATACCAGCAACAGTGTGTGAAAACCTTGTGAAGACTTACAGAAAACGTTTGACCTGTGTCATTGCCAACAAAGGGTATATAACAAAGTATTGAGAAACTTTTGTTATTGACCAAATACTTATTTTCCACCATAATTTGCAAATAAATTCATTAAAAATCCTACAATGTGATTTTCTGGATTTTTTTTCCTCATTTTGTCTGTCATAGTTGACGTGTACCTATGATGAAAATTACAGGCCTCTCTCATCTTTTTAAGTGGGAGAACTTGCACAATTGGTGGCTGACTAAATACTTTTTTTCCCCACTGTATCACATCTCAAAATAGGGCTACTTAATGTTAGATCCCTCACTTCCAAGGCAGTTATGGTCAATGAACTAATCACAGATCATAATCTTCATGTGATTGGCCTGACTGAAACATGGCTTAAGCCTGATGAATTTACTGTGTTAAATGAGGCCTCTACTCCTGGTTACACTAGTGACCATATCCCCCGCGCATCCCGCAAAGGCAGAGGTGTTGCTAACATTTACAATAGCAAATGTCAATTTACCCAAAACAAAATGACTGCGTTTTCATCTTGTGAGCTTCTAGTCATGAAATCTATGCAGCCTACTCAATCACTCATTATAGCTACTGTTTACAGGCCTCCTGGGCCGTATACAGAGTTCCTCACTGAGTTCCCTGAATTCCTATCGGACCTTGTAGTCATGGCAGATGATATTCTAATTTTTGGTGACTTTAATAGTCATATGGAAAAGTCCACAGACCCACTCCAAAAGGCTTTCGGAGCCATCATCGACTCAGTGGGTTTTGTCCAACATGTCTCCGGACCTACTCATTGCCACAGTCATACCCTGGATCTAGTTTTGTCCCGTGGAATAAATATTGTGGATTTAAATGTTTTTCCTCATAACCCTGGACTATCGGACCACCATCTTATTATTACGTTTGCAATCGCAACAAATACTCTATTCAGACCCCAACCAAGGACCATCAAAAGCTGTGCTATAAATTCTCGGACAACCCAAAGATTCCTAGAGGCCCTTCCAGACTCCCTCCACCTACTCAAGGACGTTGGAGTACACAAATCAGTTAACAACCTAACTGAGGATCTATATTTACCTTGCGTAATACCCTAGATGCAGTCGCACCCCTAAAAACAAAAACAATTTGTCACAAGAAACTAGCTCCCTGGTATACAGAAAATACCCGAGCCCTGAAGCAAGCCTCCAGAAAATTGGAAAGGAAATGGCACTGCTCGTGCAGTGGAGGAGATCTTTGTGCGCTATACTCAGCCTTGTCTCAGGGTAGTAGGTTGGTGGTCTGTTGATATCCCTCTGGTGGTGTGGGGGCTGTGGTTTGGCAAAGTGGGTGGGGTTATATCCTGCCTGGTTGGCCCTGTCTGGGGGTATCGTCGGACGGGGCCACAGTGTCTCCCGACCCCCACTGTCTCAGCCTCCAGTATCTATGCTGCAGTAGTCTATGTGCCAGGGGCTAGGGTCAGCCTGTTATATCTGGTGTCATTCTCCTGTCTTATCTGGTGTTCTGTGTGAATTTAATTATGCTCCCTATAATTCTCCCTCTCTCCCTCCCCTCCCGGAGGACCTGAGCCCTAGCACCATGCCTCAGGACTACCTGGCCTGATGACTTCTTGCTATCCCCAGTCCACCTGGTCCTGCTGCTGCTCCAGTTTCCACTCTTCTGCCTGCGGCTATGGAACCCTGACCTGTTCACCGGACGTGCTACCTTGTCACAGACCTGCTGTTTTCAACTCACTCTCTCTCTATCGCACCTGCTATTTCAACCTTCAAATGCCTGGCTATGAAAAGTCAAGTGACATTTACTCCTGAGGTGCTGACCTGTGGCACCCTCCACAACCACTGTGATTATTATTTGACCCTGCTGGTCATCTATGAACGTTTGAACATCTTGAAGAACGATCTGGCCTTAATGGACATGTACTGTTATAATCTCCACCTGTCACAGCCAGAAGAGGACTGGCCACCCCTCAGAGCCTGGTTCCTCTCTACCCAGTACAGCCAGGAGAGGACTGGCCACCCCTCAGAGCCTGGTTCCTCTCTACCCTGTATAGCCAGGAGAGGACTGGCCACCCCTCAGAGCCTGGTTCCTCTCTACCCAGTACAGCCAGGAGAGGACTGGCCACCCCTCAGAGCCTGGTTCCTCTCTACCCAGTACAGCCAGGAGAGGACTGGCCACCCCTCAGAGCCTGGTTCCTCTCTACCCAGTACAGCCAGGAGAGGACTGGCCACCCCTCAGAGCCTGGTTCCTCTCTACCCAGTACAGCCAGGAGAGGACTGGCCACCCCTCAGAGCCTGGTTCCTCTCTACCCAGTACAGCCAGGAGAGGACTGGCCACCCCTCAGAGCCTGGTTCCTCTCTACCCAGTACAGCCAGGAGAGGACTGGCCACCCCTCAGAGCCTGGTTCCTCTCTACCCAGTACAGCCAGGAGAGGACTGGCCACCCCTCAGAGCCTGGTTCCTCTCTACCCAGTACAGCCAGGAGAGGACTGGCCACCCCTCAGAGCCTGGTTCCTCTCTACCCAGTACAGCCAGGAGAGGACTGGCCACCCCTCAGAGCCTGGTTCCTCTCTACCCAGTACAGCCAGGAGAGGACTGGCCACCCCTCAGAGCCTGGTTCCTCTCTACCCAGTACAGCCAGGAGAGGACTGGCCACCCCTCAGAGCCTGGTTCCTCTCTACCCAGTACAGCCAGGAGAGGACTGGCCACCCCTCAGAGCCTGGTTCCTCTCTACCCAGTACAGCCAGGAGAGGACTGGCCACCCCTCAGAGCCTGGTTCCTCTCTACCCAGTACAGCCAGGAGAGGACTGGCCACCCCTCAGAGCCTGGTTCCTCTCTACCCAGTACAGCCAAAAGAGGACTGGCCACCCCTCAGAACCTGTTTCCTCTCTACCCAGTACAGCCAGGAGAGGACTGGCCACCCCTCAGAGCCTGGTTCCTCTCTACCCTGTACAGCCAGGAGAGGACTGGCCACCCCTCAGAGCCTGGTTCCTCTCTACCCTGTACAGTCAGGAGAGGACTGGCCACCCCTCAGAGTACAGCCAGGAGAGGACTGGCCACCCCTCAGAGCCTGGTTCCTCTCTACCCAGTACAGCCAGGAGAGGACTGGCCACCCCTCAGAGCCTGGTTCCTCTCTACCCAGTACAGCCAGGAGAGGACTGGCCACCCCTCAGAGCCTGGTTCCTCTCTACCCAGTACAGCCAGGAGAAGACTGGCCACCCCTCAGAGCCTGGTTCCTCTCTAGGTTCATTCCTAGGTTTTGCCTTTCTAGGGAGTTTTTAGCCACTGTGCTTCTACATCTGTATTGTTTACTGTTTGGGGCTGGGTTTCTGTATAAGCACTTTGTGACAACTGCTGATGTAAAAAGGGCTTTATAAATCAAATGTGATTGATTGTGTGTTTGTGTGTGTGTGTGTGTGTGTGTGTGTGTGTGTGTGTGTGTGTGTGTGTGTGTGTGTGTGTGTGTGTGTGTGTGTGTGTGTGTGGCTAAGGCCAAACAAGCCAATAAGGTCAGATCAGATGGTGATAACAGCGTCTCTCTCCGGTTGCATGCCAAGTGGCACCCTATTCCCTATATACTGTAGTGCACTATTCTTGACCAGAGCCCTATGAGCCCTCATTAAACCCACCAGATTTCCAGCTACTGGCTCTCCAGGCTCTCCCTTGGGTCCAGGCAGGCCCTGTGGTCCCATCACACCACCAGAGTCCCCCTAGGGAGAGAGACAGACAGACAGACAAACAGATAGATAAATAAACAGACAGACAGACAGACAGACAGACAGACAGACAGACAGACAGACAGACAGACAGACAGACAGACAGACAGACAGACAGACAGACAGACAGACAGACAGACAGACAGACAGACCGTGAGAGTGAGACAGTCAATCAGAAAAACAGTCAATCAGACAGACAGACAGGTCAGACAGACAGACAGACAGAGAGTGAGACAGTCAATCAGACAGACAGTCAATCAGAGAGACAGACAGACAGACAGACAGACAGACAGACAGACAGACAGACAGACAGACAGACAGACAGACAGACAGACAGACAGACAGGCAGGCAGGCATACAGACAGGCATACAGACAGGTCAGACAGACAGACAGACAGACAGACAGACAGACAGACAGACAGACAGACAGACATACAGACAGACAGACAGACAGACAGAGAGTGAGACAGTCAATCAGACAGACAGACAGACAGACAGGCAGGCAGGCATACAGACAGGCATACAGACAGGTCAGACAGACAGACAGACAGACAGACAGACAGAGAGTGAGACAGTCAATCAGAGAGACAGACAGACAGACAGCCACTGCAGTGACAGATGGGCCATGTTATCTCTACAGGACGGAGGTGACTCTGAATGACAGACGTTCACACGCAGAGAAGAGATGGGCGTAGGAGGGGGGTGAGACGGGTGAGGCAGGGGGGAGTCAGGAGGGGAAAGCGGGGCATCTGCCACCCCACTCTCTGAGTGACACACACAGAGTGGGAGGTAGGGGGGTGAGGGTGATGAGGCAGGGGGAGTCAGAGGCTAAAGCTGAGGATATCTGCCACCCCAGTGGAATCATTTCACAGAACAACAGGGGTTAAAGGGAAATGACACAAAAAAACAATATCTTTGTATTTTTTTTCATTAGTCCACTGTTGATACAGCGTGTTTGTGTGTGTGGAGGAAACAAACTGCAGCATGCAGCCTCGTCAGAGATGGTTGTGTGTACGTCTAGGCCACGGTAGAGCTGAGCTCACCATGTACAGGCTCATACACCAGTAGAACCACTTAATACAGGCCCATACACCAGTAGAACCACTTAATACAGGCCCATACACCAGTAGAACCACTTAATACAGGCCCATACACAAGTAGAACCACTTAATACAGGCCCATACACCAGTAGAACCACTTAATACAGGCCCATACACCAGTAGAACCACTTAATACAGGCCCATACACCAGTAGAACCACTTAATACAGGCCCATACACCAGTAGAACCACTTAATACAGGGAGGAGTGGCTATCCAATCTGAAAGTCGTGCATCATCCTCTACGGTGATGGTGAAACATCTGTCAAATGTCTGCCTGCATGTCTGTTCTTAAAGGTGTAAGACTTGACTTGAAGCTCTACCTTGTCTCCTTTAAGACCGTCTCTGCCAGGTATTCCTGGGTCCCCCGACGATCCCTGGAAACGGAGGACAGAACACAGCCATATCTATCAACCAGGCCTTCACACACTCACACACGCACCGACATACACACATGGACGTTAACAAGTACCCACGCACGCACTACTACACCCCCCTCAAAACACACACACACACACACGTCCCCCCTCCCGTTACAATACAGATACATTCATCTCTCTCCTCCTCTCCGCTTCAGTGGGCCCTCCATGTTCCAACGCCCTCTCCCTTTTCCAGGATTTATGAAACGCCTCTCTTTCCCTCTCCTGCTTCTGAATAAAGACAGATACTCATTATGGGTGCAGCAGCTGCAGCAGCAGATTGGGGTCCCTGTCTGCCTTGTAACGTAAAGCGCTCAGATCTGCCTCTACCGACTATTTCATTGATTACTGATCGTCTGTGTAACAATTCAAGACTTTGCCTTCATCTACCCCTTTATTCTCTTTGTGTCTCTCTTACTTTCGCTCCCTGTCTCCTCAGTGGTTTATCTATGTATTTCCTTATTGTCCTTTGGTAGGTGAAGTTGGGGGAACAGCGGAACAGGGAGATAAAGAGATGAGAGAAGGGGGAGGATGAGACTGTTCTTTCTGGAGGGGTGAGGACTAGGGTGGGGTCAATTCCATTTCAATTCAGGAACAAAAAACGGAGTATTACTTCCTGAATTGAAATGGAATTGACCCCACCCACCCCTGATGCAGACTACTTAATACATTTATTTTAAGTAACGTGTTTTACTTACCGTCTCTCCTGCAATCCCTGGGAGTCCGATGAGTCCATGAGGACCTTCTTTACCCTGGAAAACAGTCAGAGAAGTGTCAAGAGTCTAATATCCCTTCTTCTTAGTAGAGCACTGACCCATGGTGACCTGCCTGTCTGGCTAACTGCAGACAGCCCCAGCAATCCCTCTCTGATTCAGAGAGTCCTATTACTGAGCTACCAACTGTACACCCCAGTAAAGACATGCTGTTCTAGAGGCCTTTCTGGTCACCAAGGGGTTGAAAGTTGGACGTTAAGGCAAAGACATCATGGAGATGTTGGAACTGTTTAGACTGTAGCTTAGCAACTAGACACCATAGGGGTATACTATAAATGAGGATCGATTAGTTAGCCAGCTAACTTTGATAAATAACCAAAAATAACTGTTGATTTCCTGGTTCATTAGGAAGCGAAATGTATATGTGTTTTTGGTTGTTCAGTCAATTAGACCAAGCCCATTTCAAGCTTATCTTTCTTTAAAAATAAGGTTATTTTGAGATATTTGCTGGCTAACTCCTTGATCCTGCTTTGTAGAATACCCCTCAGGACATCCGGCAATTTTATTTCATTTTAAAGCTAAAGTCTGGGATTCGACAGTTGTGTCAAGCTCAAGAGGCATTTATAAGTTATATTCGTCAAGAATCAATGGGTAAATATCAAGAATTGAAAAGACCAATGAACGATTTCCCAAATACCAGACTGTATGGCTAAAAACTATAGGGGGGGGAACTCTTAAGAAGATTGCAGCAATCTTTTGGTGTTTGACCTGCTGTGAGAATTGCAGCAGTCTGACCCACAATGTGGCTGGTTTGGCAGTTTGACCATCCCCTTTGGGTATCAGAGGACAGTAGAGGGAATCAGGAGGTATTGCAGTGTTCTATAGTAGTTACATTGAACGACCCACTTACACTTACAGCCTCTAAAGTTTGATTTTAACCCCCAAGGGCTAGTCTTCCAAGAGTCCTTCGAAGACTAGCCCTCTCTATAGACCAATATAAATTGCTCAAACTTCTGACCTGAGGTAATTAAGCACTTGTCATGCCATTTAGACCTAGCTCTTGTTCCTGGGGTGAGTTGCATTACCACTAGCTGCCCAGGGAACTTTAACTAGAACCGAAACCAACTACAGGTGCACTAAAGGGGTATCTGAGTACTTGGTACACAATGTAATACATCCTGTTTCCTGTGTCAATCCAAACAGTTTGCTTCTACCAATAAGTATAATGGCAGAGGATCACATAGCTTTTGTCTTTGGGTATTGCCTGGTGATAGAGACTCTTTGTTCTCTGGTGATAGAGACTATTTGTTCTCTGGTGATAGAGACTATTTGTTCTCTGGTGATAGAGACTCTTTGTTCTTTGGTGATAGAGACTATTTGTTCTCTGGTGATAGAAACTCTTTGTTCTCTGGTGATAGAAACTATTTGTCCTCTGGTGGTAAAAACTCTTTGTTCTCTGGTGATAGAAACTATTTGTCCTCTGGTGGTAAAAACTCTTTGTTCTCTGGTGATATAAACTATTTGTCCTCTGGTGATAGAAACTCTTTGTTCTCTGGTGATAGAAACTCTTTGTTCTCTGGTGATATAAACTATTTGTCCTCTGGTGATAGAAACTATTTGTTCTCTGGTGATAGTTTCATTATCTCTGGGGTATGTACTCTGGGCCGGCTCGTCCCTTTGGCCTGGTAGTCTAGGCTTCCCTTTAACCAGCAATGAAGAGGAGGGGGGGGGGGGGGAGGGGGGGGAGATGGTGAAAAGGTGGGGTTAGGGAGAGGGGAATGTGTGGGGGGGGGAGGCGGGAGAGTGGAGAGAGGGTGAGGAGGAGGTATGAGAGAAAAGAGAGAGATGGATAGAGAAAAAAGAGGTGAAAGGGTGATAGGGGAACGGAGGTGGAAGACAGAGAGAAGAGCGAGAGACGAGAGGCGCATGAGCAGTGGGACTTCTCGAAGAGAGCGTGTGCGTGGGGTCGATAGGTAATAGATTGTGTTCAACCACATACTCCGAACAGCGAGGAGGAGGGGACCCCGAAGATATAGCGGCCAAGGGGAGGAAATCCACGAGTTTCCACCATTTTAGAACTTCTTTTCAGTAAAAATTTAAACATCTTTAAAATTTTTTTGATTCGGGGTTGAGGGACCTACCCGACATTTGGGGGAAAAAAGGTTTTGGTGAAAAATTTTTTTGGGGAAACTTTTTTTGGGAATTTTTTTGGGGAAAAAAGGGGCCCGGGGGGAAAAGGGGTTTTTAAGAATTTTTTTTTTTTTGGGGGGGGGGGTGTTTTGGTGTAGCTCGGGTTTTTCTTGGGGGCTCTTTTTTCCTGGTTTCTTTTTTCGTGGGTTGGTTTTGTGTTTGGTGTTTTTGGGGTTTTGGGGTATGGGGGGGGGGGGGGGGGACTGAAAAAGCAGTGTTCTAGAGAAGAATGAGGGTGTGGGCGGGTGCGGGGAAAGCGAGGGAGAGCCGGCGCATGGTAAAGGAAGGGTGGTGGGTCGATGGGCGAGTGAGATGGGGAGGAGGCAGGGGGGCACGCCGCCTGGCCGGGGTATTATTCGATTGGTTTTCTCCTTACTCCAGAACCTCATTTTGGTAGACCCTGAGAAGATCAATTTATCGTCTGGCTTCGAGAGGGGTGAGGAAACATACCACACAGAGCATTTCAACTTGACTTTATAGAACTCTCTTTTCAGTAAGGGTTTATATGAAACATACTGTAAAAAATATTACTTTTTAAATATAATTTCTTTGTGTTCTGGGATCCTATTCAATTCCAGGCTGCTCATATACAGAGGGGGAAAAAGTATTTAGTCAGCCACCAATTGTGCAAGTTCTCCCACTTAAAAATATGAGAGAGGCCTGTAATTTTCATCATAGGTACACGTCAACAATGACAGACAAAATGAGAAAAAAAATCCAGAAAATCACATTGTAGGTGGAAAATAAGTATTTGGTGAATAACAAAAGTTTCTCAATACTTTGTTATATACCCTTTGTTGGCAATGACACAGGTCAAACGTTTTCTGTAAGTCTTCACAAGGTTTTCACACACTGTTGCTGGTATTTTGGCCCATTCCTCAATGCAGATCTCCTCTAGAGCAGTGATGTTTTGGGGCTGTCGCTGGGCAACACGGACTTTCAACTCCATTCAAAGATTTTCTATGGGGTTGAGATCTGGAGACTGGCTAGGCCACTCCAGGACCTTGAAATGTTTCTTACGAAGCCACTCCTTCGTTGCCCGGGCGGTGTGTTTGGGATCATTGTCATGCTGAAAGACCCAGCCACGTTTCATCTTCAATGCCCTTGCTGATGGAAGGAGGTTTTCACTCAAAATCTCACGATACATGGCCCCATTCATTATTTCCTTTACACGGATCAGTCGTCCTGGTCCCTTTGCAGAAAAACAGCCCCAAAGCATGATGTTTCCACCCCCATGCTTCACAGTAGGTATGGTGTTCTTTGGATGCAACTCAGCATTCTTTGTCCTCCAAACACGACGAGTTGAGTTTTTACCAAAAAGTTATATTTTGGTTTCATCTGACCATATGACATTCTCCCAATCCTCTTCTAGATCATCCAAATGCACTTCAAACTTCAGACGGGCCTGGACATGTACTGGCTTAAGCAGGGGGACACGTCTGGCACTGCAGGATCTGAGTCCCTGGCGGCGTAGTGTGTTACTGATGGTAGGCTTTGTTACTTTGGTCCCAGCTCTCTGCAGGTCATTCACTAGGTCCCCCCGTGTGGTTCTGGGATTTTTGCTCACCGTTCTTGTGATCATTTTGACCCCACGGGGTGAGATCTTGCGTGGAGCCCCAGATCGAGGGAGATTATCAGTGGTCTTGTATGTCTTCCATTTCCTAATAATTGCTCCCACAGTTGATTTCTTCAAACCAAGCTGCTTACCTATTGCAGATTCAGTCTTCCCAGCCTGGTGCAGGTCTACAATTTTGTTTCTGGTGTCCTTTGACAGCTCTTTGGTCTTGGCCATAGTGGAGTTTGGAGTGTGACTGTTTGAGGTTGTGGACAGGTGTCTTTTATACTGATAACAAGTTCAAACAGGTGCCATTAATACAGGTAACGAGTGGAGGACAGAGGAGCCTCTTAAAGAAGAAGTTACAGGTCTGTGATAGCCAGAAATCTTGCTTGTTTGTAGGTTACCAAATACTTATTTTCCACCATAATTTGCAAATAAATTCATTAAAAATCCTACAATGTGATTTTCTGGAGAAAAAAAATCTCAATTTGTCTGTCATAGTTGACGTGTACCTATGATGAAAATTACAGGCCTCTCTCATCTTTTTAAGTGGGAGAACTTGCACAATTGGTGGCTGACTAAATACTTTTTTTCCCCACTGTGTCATGTGTATATCTGTTATTGTATTTCATTATGTACTTAACAACTACCAGTTTAATAACCAAACCCAATACAGTCCTCAGATCAGTGTAGATAACCAAACCCAATGTTTTCACATTTACATTTTAGTCATTTAGCAGACGCTCTTATCCAGAGCGACTTACAGTTAGTGAGTGCATACATTTTCATACTGGCCCCCTGTGGGAATCGAACTCACAACCCTGGCGTTGCAAACGCCATGCTCTACCAACTGAGCTACACGGTTATACAGGTTACACAGTACTCAGATCAGTGTAGATAACCAAACCCAATGTCAAAGGTTATACAGTACTCAGATCAGTGTAAATAACCAAACCCAATGTCAAAGGTTATACAGTACTCAGATCAGTGTAAATAACCAAACCCAATGTCAAAGGTTATACAGTACTCAGATCAGTGTAAATAACCAAACCCAATGTCAAAGGTTATACAGTACTCAGATCAGTGTAGATAACCAAACCCAATGTCAAAGGTTATACAGTACTCAGATCAGTGTAGATAACCAAACCCAATGTCAAAGGTTATACAGTAATCAGATCAGTGTAGATGAGGCCTTTACAATTTATTTAATGCTTGTCCTTCATCTAACTACTTAGAATGAACTGGTTACCTTCAAACCATGTGGTCCTTGGAATCCTCTTTGGCCCTGGAGAAAAGGATCATACAAACCATTATCATCATCCTAGAAATCCGATGTCTTTACACAAGAGACACACAATAGCAGTGGTGTAAAGTACTTTAGTAAACATACCTTAAAGTATTACTTAAGAACTTTTTTGGGGGTATCTGTACTTTACTTTACTATTTATATTTTTGACAACTTTCACACCACTACATTCCTAAAGAAAATAATGTACTTTTTACTCCATACATTTTCCCTGACACCCAAAAGTACTCGTTACATTTTTAATGCTTAGCGTGAACAGGAAAATGGTCCAATTCACCACTTATCAAGAGAACATTCCTGGTCATCCCTACTGCCTCTGATCTGGCGGACTCACTAAACACAAATGGTTTGTTAATGATGTCTGAATGTTGGATTGTGACCCTGGCTATCCATAAATAAAAAAGACAAGAACATTGTGCCGTCTGGTTTGCTTAATACAAGGAATATGAAATGATTTTATACTTTTACTTTAGATACTTAAGAATATTTTTGCAATGACATTTACTTTTGATACTTCAGTTTATTTAAAACCAAATACTTTTAGATTTTTACTCAAGTAGTATTTTACTGGGTGACTTTCACTTTTACTTGAGTCATTTTCTATTAAGGTATCTTTACTTTTACTCAAGTACGACAGTTTAGTACTTTTTCCACCACTGTACAATAGTAGCCAATAGTTGGTCCAACTCAGACTCACTTTGAAAAGCTATTACACTTGTTCTAAACAGCATTTCAATCTAAACCACGTAGCTGTTGATGATGTGTGGCACAATAAAGTTTGACCTCCTTTGAATTTCGTTTTTTCATATTTGATTCTTTGATTCTTTGCCAACAGCTCTTTCAGATATCTTTTTGTGTGTATCCCAAATGGCACCCTATTCCCTAACACAGTGCACACACACACACACACACACACACACACACACACACACACACACACACACACACACACACACACACACACACACACACACACACACACATACATACGCACGCACGCACGCACTGTTTCTTTGTGCTGTGAACATCAATATATTAGTCTTTGTCTGATCTGGACCCCAAAACACAAAGCATATCAGAGTAGGAGTGCTGATCTAGGACCAGTTTAGCTGTTTAGGTCATCATGAAATAGATGAAATGGACAGTGGGGAGCTGATTTCTTATACGGTTAATTATATACATTTACATTACATTTACGTCATTTAGCAGACGCTCTTATCCAGAGCGACTTACATTATTATAATTTTTTCCATACCCCCTGTGGGAATCGAACCCACAACCCTGGCGTTGCAAACGCCATGCTCTATCAACTGAGCTACATCCCTGCCGGCCATTCCCTCCCCTACCCTGGACGACGCTGGGCCAATTGCGCGCCGCCCCATATACAAATCCTATGAACACAGTGAGCAGGATGGCATGTATCCTGTCCTTACCGGATCACCCATTTCTCCTTTCTGGCCCTTTTCTCCTGCTTCAGCCTCCTAAAACAAAAAAATAAATAAGGTCATTATGAAATGCGGAACATTTTATATAAAATAACTTTTATTATGATAACACAAAATATAGAGTTACCAGTGAGAGCACTACTCCCATTGTGACTGACTAGAACATAAGTTAAAGATAGGATGTTTATGCTTACAGAGCCAGACAGATGTCTCAGTCCATGAGCTGTCATCACCTGGATCGAAAGGATAGAAGATAGAAAAATGAGCTGTCTTTTTGATTGTCACTCTTTCGGTAGGTAAGACGGACCCCCTAACCTCCCTTATTGAATGCACTTGGCTCTGCACTTGGCTCTGCACTTGGCTATGATCGGAACTGCAGTTTGGGTTGTCAAAGTTAAACTAAAGGAGTATTTTAAGAGAGAAAAGGAGGGGAGGAGTGTTTTCTGTGACACTAAAGATGAGTGCCAGTCTGTGACCAGACCCTCTTCCACTAGACTAGCACCTCTGCCATGTGTCCCAAATGGCACCCTATTCTCAATAAAGTGGGGTAAATAGTACCATAGGGCTCTGGTCAAAAGTAGTGCACTATGTAGGGAATAGGGTGCCATTTGGGATGAATGTCCCAGAATCGGCCAATCATCATTGTGGGGATACAAAGCCCACCTGTGGAGCAGTCCTCCAGCCAGGGTATGGATCGTTAAATGCCAAGTGTATATCCCAAATGGCATCCTATCCGCTTTATAGCGCACTATTTTTGAGCAGTGTCCATAGGGCTCTGGTCAAAAGTAATGCACTATATAGGGAATAGGGTGCCATTTGGGATGCATGCCCACAGTAATGGAAATAAACTTTTCAAGCTGTAAAATGATGTCCTGAGCTTTCCCATGATGTTGTACCACAATTGTAGTCTGGAAACCTGCAATTCAGTGTACATATGTTTTGGTTTGGCTTCAAGTTCAACATCTTAGACTGCCTCCAAAAGCTAGCAAAAAAAAATATATTTTTCTATTGAACAAGTTTGTCAATTTGTTCTAACCCTGTTCCTTGTCTTCCTATTATTCTGTGTGTGTCTGGTCAAGCCGGGCCATTTTAGTGAAAATACGTTTTGTTTTGGCTTTCATTTCAAGATCTCAGACTGACATAAATATCTATTTACAAGTTTGCCAATTTGTTGTAATCTTTTAGCCTTCTGCTCTTGTCCATAGCCTGTAAAACGATGTCCTGATCTTTCCTGTGATGTTGTACAACAAGTTAATTGTGGAAATAAGCCTTTTATTGCTTCAAGTTCCAAATATCAGTCTGTCTCCTAAAGCTTGTCAATTTGTTCTAATCTTGTCTCTTATATCTGTAGCCTTCAGTCAGTGTCTGGTCAAGGGCGATGTGTGGGCTGTCTGTGGGTCATGGAGGGTCATGCATGCCTATAACCCTGCCTGGTGGTTCCTCCTCTGCACTAATGAACAGGAAGGAGGGTAATGGTCTGAACCCTGGCTTCTGCAGAGTCAGGGAATTAAACGCTTTATAGCAGAAATGATCCCAATACGTCCCAAATGGCATTCCCTACATAGTGCACTACTTTTGACTTGTTGCTATTTGGGACGCATCCATGATCTGTTACTGGGAAGTGGAAAAATAAACGTTCCTTGAAGTGAGATTGGAGCTAAATATTCAAACAAGACCCATTTATGAATTGATAAATGACTTTTATGAACTACTGAAATCTAAATGAACGTACTCCGAAGCCACTAATGTAGACCAGAGAGGATTGGATAGATGGATGGAGGCAATATGGGGACATTTCCACCCAGCCAATCAGAAGGCAAGATTAAGCTATTACCATTTACATTTACATTTTAGTCATTTAGCAGACGCTCTTATCCAGAGCGACTTACAGTTAGTGAGTGCATACATTTTTCATACTGACATGAGACTTGAGGGGTGGGATGTGTGTTCTGGGTGACGGGTCCACACAGTGTCAGAACAACAGCATCCCCATGCTGACTAGTGGGTTGGCTGGCTGTGGACATCTTTTTTTGTCCTGTTACTGTGCTACATTTGGACATGCTTAATTACCCTCTTTTCCTAGCTGTGGTTAGTTAGTTAGTTAGTTAGTATTTTACCGTAGCTGCATATCAGACGAGGCTAGCCACTCCTGAAACTCACAGCCAGAGCTAACGCCACCAGCAGCCTAGCCATGCCGCGCAGCTAGCTAACCGTTTATTCATTAAATCAGACTCAGTCACTCTTCAAACAAGAAACTTTTAAATTACAAAAGCTGCCCTAACACCATTATTGTTATACTACCATATGATAGTAAAAAATTCCTTGACGGCTGGTGAAGGAAGGATGAATGGTGGCTTTGAAAGGTGGTTCTGAGGAGTGCAGGGCAAGGTTGGTTAACCTTTTCAGCAGGGGAGGCCTGGTTGTCATAGTCCTCAGCTGGAGCAGCAGGTTGCTAGTGGCATAGCTGGGTAGCACAGGGACTGGTAATCATAGATGCATTGTGGGTATGGGGGACGGGACGGGACGGGATGAGTATTATGGAGGCCAGATCAGGGGATGGCAAATTGAACCACTAGCTCTAAAGAGTATAGCTACTTATCCAATCCTCTCTGATATAGTGTGTCTGTAGGGAGTAGGGGCTAGGGGGTGATTTGGCATTCGACAATTGGCATAGTTGATTTGGCATTCAAAAACCGTTTTGGGAGCCACATGATTAATTGATTGACTGAATGTATTTGATAATTATAAGTAGAAGGCTGCCCCAGCCGGAGACAACATCACATGATAACATACTGGACTTTGGGTGTTCCAACCAAACCTCAGAAGACTGTAGGCCTAAAATAGCAACATAATTGACCATTTTAAATCATTTTGCTCCCTTATCGCTTCAATCTTAAACATCTATTTCAAAATGTAATCCAGTCCAGTTAATTGAGTCCGATTAAGTGGTCCTAATAAAACTTCTTACACAAATAATTGCAAGGAAAGAAAAAGCTTTATAGCCATTAAGGGGGACTCATTACCTGCCATTGTTAAATTGTAAATTAAACGTTTAAGAACAAGTGGACCTGACTCCAGCTGAGATAAGGGATTCATATTAAATGGCACCCTATTGCCTATTTAGTGCACTACTTTTGACCAGGGCCCACAGGGTGCCATTTGGGACACACCCAGTGAAAGAAATCAGTGGTTGGAGCATGCGTGTTCCAAAGTAGGGCACTATGTAGGGAATAAGGGACCATTTGGGACGCATGCAGAGTGAAATAAAGTAGTCGTTGGAGAATTAGTTCATTAGTGCAGAGGGAATATTTGTTCAGCGTGTGGTGATGGAAAGTTGGCTCATTTCCACTTGGATCACCGGCTATTAAGAAATCAGGAGGTTGAATTAAGAACCGACAGATCTCAGATGAGTCTGGGAACAGTCTGTTGTTCTCACAATTATTTAGAGTCTGGATTGTCTACCAAAAGTATGGCTGTCCATTACGGTCAACATAATATCCTTTTTATATATCGTGTTGATAGGCCCCAGTAAAGGTATGGCTGTCCATTACGATTACATAGTCAGGTACTGCACGTATAGATTCAGGATTGTCTTTGAGGGATCAGAGGAGACAGAGCATGGATTGCAGGTACTCTCAGATCTGAAAACATGTAGCCAAAACATTGTGACTGTGGAGCATGAATAATGTACTGGACTAACACATACTGTAGAGTCCAGGCTAGTCTTGTTTACACCCCTCAGGTACTCCTCTCTCCAATAACTCAAAAAGGAACTACAGTACATAACTTTAAAACAGTCTCTTAAATAACATCAGTTTATGTCTCAGTCATAAACAGTCACATGAAATATTAAAGCCACAACAATGCACTCCTCACCGGTCCTGGCGGTCCTCTTAGGCCTTCTTCACCCTGATAAGAGAACACAAAGACAACATAGAGAAACCACATGACGTGCTACTGTATAGACATGCCTCAAAACCTCAGGCTGATATTGATCTATTCTTTAGGAAGAATACAGAACCCGTGGTTTACAGCGGATAGTAAAATCTCCCCCACTACCCAAGCTTCTGTAATATCTGCCCTATCTCCCCTCTCTCATTGCTTCAGTCATAACCAACAGTAGCATTCATTCAAACACTATTTACATGTTCTGAATTGGGTTAGGGAGGTTGGTACACTGATGTACTGTAGTGGGTTAAACAAGGGGGCCTCTGGGATGAAAGAACAGAAGGTGAGTCACATGGTGTGTGTGTGTGTGTGTGTGTGTGTGTGTGTGTGTGTGTGTGTGTGTGTGTGTGTGTGTGTGTGTGTATGTGTGTATGTGCGTGTGACAATTAACAATGATGAAATATCGTTATTAGAGCGTTCATTTGCTGCCAGATTTAGACTTAAATGAATACAGGAAAGATAAATAGATCAGGGGAATCAGATTTGGGCTTAGACACATACACACACACACACACATACACACACACACACACACACACATACCAACACACATACACATACACACACACACACCATGTGATGTGACTCACCTTTTGTCCTTTCATCCCAGAGGCCCCATCTCCACCTGGCTGACCCTGAGGTAGAATGCCAAAGGTGAAAGGTTAGAGTTCACTGAAGGGAAGGGAATGAAGCGTGTGCTGTGTGTGTGTGTTACATACCGGATATCCTTGATCTCCTTTGTCTCCTGGGACGCCAGAGTCACCCTTCACCCCCTGGATGAGAACAGAGAGAGAAAGAGGAGAAAGGATAGAGAGAGGAGAGAGAGAGAGAGAGAGAGGAGAGAGAGAAGAGAGAGGAGGATGAGAGGGAGAGAGAGAAGGAGGTGAGGGATGAGAGAGAGAGAGAGGAGAGAGAGAGAGATATAGAGAGAGATATATAGCTATTATATATACTGCTCTCTATATCTTTCCATATATCTCTCTCTCTCTCTCTCTCTCCTTCGCTCCTCTTTCCCTCTCTTTCTCTCTATCTCTCTCTCTCTCTCTCACTCGTCTCTCTCTCTCTCTCTCTCTCTCTCTCTCTCTCTCTCTCTCCTCTCTCTCTCTCCTCTCTCTCTCTCTTCTCTCTCTCTCCTCTCTACTACTCTCTCTATCTCTCTCTTTCTCCCCCCCATCTCTCTGAGAGTCATGCTTTGTTGATTTAAAAAAAAAACACCCTCTTCAACATACATTTCAACAAATTGGCGAGGGCACTAGAACAGTCTGCAGCACCTGGCCTCACCCTACTAGAATCTGAAGTCAAATGTCTTCTGTTTGCTGATGATCTGGTGCTTCTGTCACCAACCAAGGATGGCCTACGGCAGCACCTAGATCTTTTGCAAAGATTCTGATGTATCAAATACTTGTTCTCCCCACTGTATATATATAACATGACATTTGAAATGTCTTTATTCTTTTGAAACTTCTGAGTGTAATGTTTACGGTTAATATTTATTGTTTATTTCACTTTTGTTTACTATCTACTTCACTTGCTTTGGCAATGTTAACATACGTTTCCCATGCCAATAAAGCCCTTAAATTGAAATTGAATTAAATTGAAATTGAAATTGAATTGAGAGGGAGAGAGAGGGAGAGGAAGAGGAAGAGAGGATGTATGGGAACATACAAGACAAGTATAACATGATTGACAGCAGAGAGAAGAGATGAGAGTGTTGTGTGTGTGACCGTGTGTGAGTGTGTGTGTGTGACCGTGTGTGAGTTTGTGTGTCTGTGAACATGACCCCTTTTAATGTCCTAAGGCTCATACAGTACATGCTTATAACCAGTAATACATCATGTTGGTTGTATCATTGTAGATGCTGAGTCTATGGGTCAACTGAGAGAATGGACTATAAAGCCCTGTTGCACTGCAGCAGTGTTCCTGAACCAACCAGGTCCTGATCTCGTCATTCTCCTCTCCACCAATAGATGGCACTTGATGACAGCAGATCAACTCTTCAGTTCTCTTTCATTCAGCAGTTTTCTCCTTCTTTAATGTGTGGATAAGGACTGTACAGTCTGCCAGTACCACCCAGGGAGTGTGAGTGGACTCAGGCTTATTCATGAGGCATAGAAATGACGGGTGGGCGTCTGCGCTCTTTAAAGGTTCTTTATATCTGTAAAATAGGAACCTTGTAGCAGTAGGGACAGGAAATCAGCAGAAGGCAAGGGAAGTTAAAGTGCTCAACTGCACTTGTCTCTTCCTACTAGCACTGACTTTTGCCGATAACTTCTTTGTTGAGGAAAAATGTACTTACTACGACTGTGATATGTTGGTGTCCCACCTTGCTATCTTAAGATGAATGCACTAACTGTAAGTCGCCCTGGATAAGAGTGTCTGCGAAATGACTCAAATCAAAAACAAACAAAAAATGCTCAGTGTAGATTTATTTACAGGTCTTGGTGATCGAGCGGTGAATGTGTCATATAATACAAACTATATACGGCAACAGCCCAAAAGAAATAGCCCCTCTTTCCTTTTTATTTCGCTTTTTCACCTGTCATTTCTGCACTTTTCTGCTACTCACACTCAATGGAGACGTGGAAGCTGCCCAACCACCGGTTTAACTGTACGAAGTCCCGGTTTATTATCTCACTTGGGTAGATAGGCACATGCTAGCTCATAACGCAACGGGAGGATCTCGACCGCCATGTTAAAGCCATACGAGTGTTACATCATTTTTTACTGAATATCACCGGATATCAGACAGACATTTATAGAGCATCTTCACAGTTAACAGGAAGTAGTAACACAGTAATTACAGTAACCAAACTCTCTATATCACCCGGTTAACAGGAAGTAGTAGCACAGTAATTACGGTAACCAAACTCTCTATATCACCCAGATAACAGGAAGTAGTAACACAGTAATTACGGTAACCAAACTCTCTATATCACCCGGTTAACAGGAAGTAGTAGCACAGTAATTACGGTAACCAAACTCTCTATATCACCCAGTTAACAGGAAGCAGTAACACAGTAATTACGGTAACCAAACTCTCTATATCACCGGGTTCACAGGAAGCAGTAACACAGTAATTACGGTAACCAAACTCTCTATACCACCCAGTTCAGGAAGTAGTAACACAGTAATTACAGTAACCAAACACTCTATATCACCCAATTAATAGGAAGTAGTAACACAGTAATTACAGTAACCAAACTCTCTATATCACCCTGCTAACAGGAAGTAGAAACACAGTAATTACGGTAACCAAACTCTCTATATCACCCAGTTAACAGGAAGGAGTAACACAGTAATTACGGTAATCAAACTCTCTATATCACCCAGTTAACAGGAAGCAGTAACACAGTAATTACAGTGATCAACTCTCTATATCACCCAGTTAACAGGAAGTAGTAACACAGTAATTACAGTAACCAAACTCTTTATATCACCCTGCTAACATGAAGTAGTAACACAGTAATTACAGTAACCAAAATCTCTATATCACCGGGTTCACAGGAAGCAGTAACACAGTAATTACGGTAACCAAACTCTCTATACCACCCAGTTCAGGAAGTAGTAACACAGTAATTACAGTAACCAAACTCTCTATATCACCCAGTTAATAGGAAGTAGTAACACAGTAATTACAGTAACCAAACTCTCTATAGCACCCTGCTAACAGGAAGTAGAAACACAGTAATTACGGTAACCAAACTCTCTATATCACCCAGTTAACAGGAAGGAGTAACACAGTAATTACGGTAATCAAACTCTCTATATCACCCAGTTAACAGGAAGCAGTAACACAGAAATTACAGTGATCAACTCTCTATATCACCCAGTTAACAGGAAGTAGTAACACAGTAATTACAGTAACCAAACTCTTTATATCACCCTGCTAACATGAAGTAGTAACACAGTAATTACAGTAACCAAACTCTCTATATCACCCAGTTAACAGGAAGTAGTAACACAGTAATTACAGTAACCAAACTCTCTATATCACCCAGTTAACAGGAAGTAGTAACACAGTAATTACTTCTTCCCTCCTTCATCCTCCCCCAGCATAGAGTTTTCTGGACCAATCAGGGCACCTTTTGATGGTTAGCCTGTGTGTGTGTGTGTTTGTGTGTGTGTGTGTGTGTGTGTGTGTGTGTGTCTGTCTGTCTGTCTGTCTGTCTGTCTGTCTGTCTGTCTGTCTGTCTGTCTGTCTGTCTGTCTGTCTGTCTGTCTGTCTGTCTGTCTGTCTGTCTGTCTGTCTGTCTGTCTGTCTGTCTGTCTGTCTGTCTGTCTCAGGGAACAGGCTATAGATTATAAGCACCCTCTTCCTTAACAGCGTATCCATTAAATAGATAAAGAGAAGATCCATACCAGAGCTTCCAGCAGGCACAAGACAAAGCAGTGTCAGTGTCTGTCTCTGTCTCTCTCCCAAATGGTAGTTTTAACAACAGTCGTTATTATGCTGTGGTCTTTTAATGAGATCTAGTCACTGATTGGTTGTGAGGTTTATGAGCTATTCATAACAAAGCAAGGAGAAGATCGCCATACATGAACAGATGGACTGGCCTATTTTAGAGGTGAGAAGCCACTGTGGATAATTTGATTGTGAACATTAATTGAATTTGTAAACTGTTCATACTGTATGCATGTTATTAATGCAAAAGAAATCAAACATATAACCTCACCATATATTTTATTGATTCAGGTCTCTCTTGTAAAATAGATTTGATCTCAATGAGAATAACTTGTATAAATAAAGGTTACATGGCAATACGAAGTTGATGTTTTACTGCCACAGCAGTCGTTACCATCCATAAGGACTTGGCCCAGGATACCTGTGTTGGATGTCTCTTCCCATTGTGCTAAATGCCCAGCGGTGCACAAGGCAGGGTAGGGGACCAGCACAACTGGAGACTACTGTCTAGGTGTTGCTCAGAGGGGCTACATGTTTACTTTGAGCTAGTCATTAAACTGCAATTAAACACCTCTCCCTCTCTCCCTCCCTCCTTTTC